CACAACTTCTGTCTCTTGCTCTACTCATTACCAACTCCCAGTTGTACGCCCCTCTTCTGGTGTTCCTGCAGTCCTTAAAGTGACATTCGAGCAGTTCAGGGGGAGAAAAAAAGCCGCCAGCAGTTTTTGGTCTTTGCTATAAATCCAGTTTTGTGGATTTTTTTATGTAAAAAGAAAAGTAAAATGTTAGAATAAAAATAAACATATAAATAAATAAACATTCAGATATAGCTGTGCTATCTGGTAATCTCAGTCACTTTATTAAAGCTGAAATGTAGGGCACAGATTTAGCTTCATTTCCTGCTTCACATATGCCAACATCAAAAAATTACTGTAGACATGTTTGTTTTACTGTCTTATGAAGCTATAAATAATCATTACTTTTTCAAGTTTTGAGTTTTTGTTTTTAGTTTCAAGATTGAATTTCTCACCCTAAAACAAAAAAGCTTCTTGCTTCAATACAATCTGCAGCTCTGAACTGAACTGGAGCTTTTTTTATTTTATTTTTTTAGCTCAGTTTGTAACAGACTCAACCACACCCCCTTTTCTGCCTTTTAAATTAACAGTGATAAAAGTAATGTAAGTTATTTTGAGAAGAATGTTAGTTTATTAGGGGGATGCTTGTGTTCTTATATCGATGTGGCAAAATCAAATGTTTATTTCACAAAGTAAAATCCAGAAGAAATTTGCTTTGTTTACATTTTTTAAATCAAGTAATTACTTCCTGTTCCAAGTTCCACTCGGCTCTTCTCCTGCCACTTGTTGGACTTCAAACAGAGAGTGTCCGCTGCTCTGAGGAGCAGGGGCGAAGAGCGGCCGGCTGAAGGCTTTTGGAAGTGTTTGCTCTTGGGATTTCACTTCAAGATGTTTACAAATGGCTCTGCAGGAAGCACAACAACAAAAAGAGGTCTAACTCAGTGTTTGGAAGGGCACACTGGGCCTATACGGATCAATTACTAATCTGCTGAGTACATAAAAAGTCACGATCACAAGGAAGTGACAGTTTAGACTGAAAGACCGAACAAAACCTAAAACAACAGTTGGGTATAAATACTTATGGAATCTGCTTTTTTTTAAAAGACAAACATCTGATGGAGAGCAGCAAACGCCTTCCTTTTCAACTTTGAAGGCTCTTATTTGTGCTCTGGTTAACAAAGCTGCTTCAGCTCAAGCCCTGAACAACATATTTATGACCTACAGTCCGAATCGGGCCTGCGCTGTTCTGCTGCAGGCCCAACTGCTGCCCGCTCGCTGTAGTCAATGGAGACGGAGCATAAAGGAGGAAATGAATGCGTGAGGGATGAATACGTGGCCCTGGGGGTCAGTTTAATGGAGTGAGACCCCCGGCTCCTATTGACTTCCACTGCTGAACTATTAACTCCTCACAATTCCCAAGCTGTGGTGTCATTATTCATTCCAGGCGTTAAAAACTTTAAATAATTTGCATTGTTTATCTGTGTCTGTAGCAGATAAATCTTTTTTAATAAATCAAATAGTTTGGTTATTTTAACCGGTTATACTGTAGATAAGATGTCCAAACAAGAATAAAACAGAGAAGTTAGATTTGTTAATGTTTTTCAACTAAACGCTTACTGACAATGAACACTTTTAAAGTTTTTTTGTTAATTTAAAAAATATATATTAAATGGAACTTATTAGATTGGAGGTGGAGCTGTGACATTGTTTTCAAAAAATTGTGTTTTGGCCATCTACACAATGGCATTTTATTATGTTTTTAACCATTAAAAAAAGCTATTTTGCCGTCCACCAAAATGATGTTTTTTATGTGGCTGCTGGGCTGAAACAAACAAAAAAAAGTAGTAATTTTTGCATCTTCACAAATACTGTTCCCCCTGTTGGATTGCACTTAAATTTGATTTAACTTAACAAACATTTTCTATTTTTCTAATATGTTATTCTTTAAATTTACACTATTTGTATCAGAAAGCAGGGAACTGATTGTTTCACAGAAAAACTGGAACAGGAGCTTCTTGAAAATTCATGTGGTTTCTGGTTTTGTAGCAGCTAAGGATCCAACTGACTTGGTGAGAGTGTTCGTGTGTGTATGTGTGTGTGAATGTGTTATCCGGGGGTGTTATCAATAACAAGTGTGATGGGTATGTTTCTTTAAGACAATCCTATAAATGGTGGCCCCCGGTCACCACCTCCTTCACTCAGAGGGGGCTGGCTCCAGTTTGAGTTTTCCTTGGCGGGTCAAGCCGGCCATTGAAGTCTGAATAGGCTGCCATGGCAGATTACTCTGCACAGCTGTCCCCCTACCGTGGAAATTAAGTTATGCCCCGTGTCAGCAAGTTTTGTGTTTTCTCTGCCCATCCCCCCCACCCCCCACCTTCCCTTTGCCCACATCCTCCTCTTTCTTAAGTAGCTGAGGCCCCACAAATGTGCACACACATAGTAAGGCTTTAGGAGGTGTGGGTAATCACGCCGGGACAATTCTGATTAGTTAGCTCAATCTGAACCCAACCTGCATACCTACACAAAGAAAACACACGTCCCTGTTGCAAATGAATGCATGTGCACACAATAAAAAACACAAACTGAAGCATCTCAGACTTGTTTCAGTGCTTCCTGGACAGAGTCCTGCTGCCCTTGTGGCCCCGTTTCAGTGTTTTTGTTTATTTGTGGGTGATGTTGTTTGTGTTGTGGTCAAAGTGAAAGACAAACACTGCAGCTCGTCCAGTGGTGTGTGACCATGCTGACAGTGTCCCCCTTCCAGACAGAGCAGCCAGATGTTACAAACTACATAAATAGCACAACAAGCAAGAAAATTTGTGTTTGGTAGATTAATTCTCTCTTTTAACAAACACTCATTGACATTAAATCGTATACCTTTGGAAAGCCTTTTAATATTCCTTTTAAATGGTGCCACATTTGTAAGGATCATGCATTTATGGGATGAGCAGTAGAGCTGAGTGTGTGGGTTGCACACATGAAATATTTGCCAAATCTACACTGCAAAACAGCTTATTTTGCTATTCTATAGCTGGTATCGGGCGTAAAGGTGCTGGCTTTAATACCTGATTCCTGCGAGAGGTCCCGGGTTCAAATCCCGGACGAGCCCCCTTTTGTCACAGGCCAGCCCATGGCCCATAACAAAAATGAGGGGAGACAAGGTAAAGGCCAACTGAAACATTTTTATTATCAACATAAATCTAAATAAACTCAAAATCCAACCTAGAACACAAAAACAAGGAGTTACCTGGAGGAGCAGAAAGAGAGAAATGGTTAGTGGAGCACTGATTAAATCACTGCACCCAGGTGCTTCCCATTACTCAAAGGCCACCGGTCCTTCCAATCAGAGGAGGAGCCGTGACACTATTGACACTGGTTTTGAACTTCTGGTACCCCTGGATGCTGCCAATCAGGTGCCCCCTTTAAGATTCATTGGCAAGAAGCAATTTTACAAGAAAGAGATAATCTAATTTCCTTATGTTTTTTGTGTTCGGATGACAATGTAATAAAACAAACTGATATTGGTTTAAGTAACTGTTTTGTTAATAAATAAGAATCTAACTTTGTAGAATCTCATCTCACTAGTATCTATTTATTTCACGTGAATATTTTTTTCCACCTTATACCCGTTTTGTGTTATTGAGTTACAAATAAAACTTTTAAAAACAAAATCACAGAGCATCATAAGAACAATAAATAGACGTCATAAATCTGAGCATATCAATGCTTTATCTTTCTTTGCAACTTTTTATATTTTTTACATGACCAACACAACTCATGCTATATAAGCCCCAGTAACAAAATTAGTATACAACACTTTGTGACCCCCTTTATGAGATGCTCAACTGCGACATTTTCAACAGCGAATAAATCAAATGGCTGCCACAAACAGTCAGGTAGCGATGCGTACTCTCGGTGACAGTGGGATTAGTGCTGCAGGTTTTCTCTCAGGACCTGGTAAGTCGTGCTGCAGCCAGAGTAACTGGATTACAGGTCTTTTTCTCATTTAAAAGGGCTGAGAACTCAGCAAAGGTCTTACATGATGAAATCAAAGTGGCAGCTGAAATAGTTGTGGGGGTGGGGGGTGGAGGTAACGACAAGGGGTTCCTGAAAGTCCCCCCTGGCATCAGTAACACAGCAAAGGAAAGAAATTCAAAATCAATGATCTTTGCTTTGCTGCCACTGGTGCCTCCTGCTAATAAGTTCAGAGAACTTTCCCCAAACCGAGACGGGAAATAGGAGAGCTTCAGCCAGCAGAGTAAGTGAAATAACCCCAAGTGCTAAAACGCGTTTCAAATGAAAGTGAGAAAAGGGATCAAACTAGGAGCAACACACTTTTTCATGCTGCGTTTTCAGCAAAGATTTTAATGCTGGCATGGGCGCAGAGGGGAGTCGAGGTGGAGCCCATTCCATCAAGAAAAAAAAAAAAAGAACCTGTGGTAACTTCAGGGGATTATTTCCAAATCCTTTCAATGAACTTTCCATCTCAGTGCCCACTCCTGCATCTCAGCCATTCCAACTGTCCGGCTGGTTCTACATCACGTTTTTGCACAACTTTGYGTGGCATTGGGGCCAAAGCAAACACATGTGAGCAATAAGGTCAGAACACATTAGGAGCAGAGAGTTCACCACAGAAAGCTGCAAGTTTATCTGTTTGAGATAAAGAAGCACTTAATGCATGTGGTGTCGGTTTTTAAAACACAAGAAAATATGGGTAATACAGCTTCTGAATGGGTGTTCTGAACTGTAATTTCATTGTGCTCTGTACAAAAAGGTCTATCTTATCTTATCTCATCTTATCTCATCTTATCTTATCTTAAAGTTTAAATAAACCAAAGAAAATGTGTCCTCTGTGAAAAATCAGCGTGAATGAATTGCTTAAGAAGCTGAAACTGAGTTGCTAAAGCTAAAAGAAACAGAACATCAGCTAAAAGAAGCAAAATCATTCATGCTGATGTTGGCAAAAGGCTAGCTTGAAGCTAAATGCAACAAAAGCCTAGTCAAAAGTTAGCCAAAATTCAAATGAATTTAAAATGTTAGCTAATACTGTAGTGAAAGTAGCAAAAGCCAAAGACAGCAACTAAAATGAGCAAAATGGAAAGTAGCAGAAGGCTTGCTAAAAGCTAAAAGTACTAGAAGATGCAAAAGCTAATTAAGAGTAGCAGAGCTGTAGGCTGTGTCCAAAACGGCAAGCCGGGTCCTCTGAAGGACCCAGTGTACCCGGTCGAGGTGGGCCGGGTCCTGGTAGATTGGGAAGACCAGAAAAAAGTGGCTGTGAATTTGGACAGTCTAGCCTCCCGTTCCTTATCCTGGCGAACGTCATGTCGTCTACCAACCGTGACAACGCCAAACAGAAGCAAAATTAGATTGAAATTAGAAAAAATATAAATATATTAGTGTTATTAATATCGCAAAACAATAAAATTAAGTTAAAGGTATTATTTGAAGAACTAATTGTCCCGCTGTAGGTGCATGTTTATTTCGCGTTTTTTCTGACAAAAATAGAATCTAAAAACACGTCTATACAAATAATAAAAGTGTTAAAAATACAATCGCTAAACAAATTAAATTTTTATATCGCCATATTTTTTTAATTAAAATGTATTCTTTTCTCTCGCTTCGTCCAGCATTACTAGCATAAAAAAAATCTCCGGTAGGGCCACAATGCATTATGGGATATGGTGGGCCGGGAAGGATCCGTCGGACCAGTCCTTTGATTCGGGGCCAAAGGAAGGACGCATTTGAGGAGTCTTAGGTTTTGGACGGCCTCCATTCCGGTGCTGTGACATATGCAGCAGACGAATTCGGACTTCGGAGGACCCGGCCCACTGTTTTGGACACAGCCGTAACTAAAAACTAAAAGTAGCAAAAAGCCAGCTAAAAGCTAAAATAAGCTGAATGGTAGCTAAAGGAAACATAAAAAGACAAAACAAAAATCGTTAGAAGGAAATTAGGAACAGAACAATACTTTTAGAAACAGAAGTGGTCTTGGCGTATTTTTATGCAGAATTAAAAAATAACATTTTGAATTGCAAAAAACAAAAATCATGGCGCCCATTTCCTGAATGAGCAAACCTTTTGAGTGGTTAAAGTAGCCTAGCATCAAGTAGCTTACACAGTACTAAACAGGAAAACAATACTTGTGTTTTTAACTTGGGCTTAAGATGAAGAAGCTATAAATGTTTTCACTTAGCTTTCACTAGACATATAAAACATGCGCAATACTCTGAACTTYAGAAGAAGTAAGGTCAAATACTTTTAAAATTACTCAAATGTGGAAAAAATGTTATTGTAATGAACAATCTGAAAACTTAACTTGTTCATCTTGTCTTTCATTGCTCAATAGGGTGGAGACAGGAAGGAAAGGATTCTGTGATTTTAAAAGAAAAAAATGCAGCAGGAATTATTCTAAATATGCGTTGGAAGATCCTGGAAGGAGCCTGAGCTGCACCTTTATAAACACCGCGCTGTGATAAGCTCGGGGTGAAGTGATCTGCATGGGGTGAAGTGTGGGCCGTTTTGTTCGGGAGGCCAACAAAACGGAGCTCGCTGAAGCAAAGTCGATGGCAGAGATACCTTACACACGCTCAAAGAGCTGGAACACAAACAGCCACAGTTTGTAAATTAACCATCCCCAACACACACTCAACTGTGCTCGTGGAGGAAGAAAAACTGCTGTGGCAACACTGAAGCACTCTTAAACAAAGCTCCACTGAAAGGTGAAGGCAGACTTGCTGAGTCTGTGCGTGAGTGTGAATGTGCTCGTCTGTTAGCAAAATATCTCAAGAACCACTGGATTGATTTTAATAAAATTCTCAGGTAGAGATCATTGGGTGTACCTCTACAGCTGTTTAACTTTTGGGGTCAACCCAATTTAAAACTGTTGCAACAGTTAACTGATCTTAGAAAACACAAAAATAGCTATAATTCTGTTACTCTCATAGAAATTTATCTAAAATTTTGTGTGATTATAGCCAAGAGTCACTCACATCACTAGTTCCAAGTTGCACTTTTTGTGCAAAATGTTTTGCCAAAAACTTTGCAATTAATTGGTGTCAACCCTGCTCATCTGTTAGCAAAATAACTCCCAGACCACTGGATAGATTCTAATGAAACTTTCAGGAAGTAATCAACAGAAATATATCTACAACTGATTAACTTAGAGTTACTGATCCAAGATGGCCACCACATCTACTCAAGCCATCACAACAATTGCTATTCCTCAGTCAATAGACATAGTTTATAGTTATTGTCAAGGTTTGATTGAAACAGTTACAAGAGTAATCTACATTCATTCAAGGAACAACTGAGCCTTTAATTTTTTATAGCTTACATTATTAAATCCAACAAAACATAAAAAAAAACAATGACTGCACTTGAACAAATACATCAATTCAATTTTAGAATGCTCAGTGCAGTTTGGTGAGATTTTTTGCACTTCTTTCATCCATTCACACATCTCGCATTATTACAGCCTAATCAACACATGCTGTGCTTTTCCTAAGTGCTGAAACTGGCTGAACAAATGCGAGGAGCAACAAGAAAGACAAGGAGGAGGAGGAAGGAGGAGGAGGACAGGCTGAGCTGCAGAGCTTATTCTMCTGCCTTGGAAAGCTTCATGCACAGTGGATCGCATTACCGACACTGCTGGAAACCGACAAGGTATTTCATTTAGAAGCCACTGAATCCCATGCAGGGTCATTTCTGCAGAAACCATGCCTGCCATCTCAAATAGAAGTAAAACTAAACCTTTGCATGTGTCTTTTTGAATTGAAAACATGCCCTTTTTCTAATATTTGGAACTATAAAGTAGTAACATCAACAAAAGGCAGGTAGAATACGTGTTTATATTGATAACCAAGCATCCTCCCTCCCCACACTGACTCGGTCATGTGTTCCTCCTCTTTTCTTTACAGTGGAAGCTTGAGACCCGGGCAGCAGCAGATCGTTCCCACATGCTTCCCCGCCGCTCAGCTCTCCAGAGGTGTCGAGCCGGCCTGAAAGAATGAAGTGCCTCCCTATTGTGCTGCTCAACTATTATGTGCTTAACATTTCCATGACAAAGATGCCACTCGACTTCTCCACCATCAATTCAGCTGAAGGGCCCTTGCACCCCCCCACCAATAAAACATTTTGCACTAGCATCATCGTGGATTTAAATGCCCCCACTGGATGAGAAGTTGCTGTATCAGTTCTGGGAGTAAACAAAAAGGTGAAAAATTCAAGAAACAATCAGTATGTTCATCTTTGATTGCACAATAAGTTTAAAGAGGGGAAAAAATTCTAATATGTTTGTAAATCTTCAACTACAGATCAAATTCTAAACACTTTGAATAAAATGTTAGAGGCTAACCTTTATCAGCCAGTGGTGGTAAATTCCCACACAGCAGAGTGTTGGTGGTGGTGGTGGTGGGGAGCAGAGGGTGTTTTGTTAATTTATGGTGACAGTTGTTTTTGACAAAAGGCAGCTAAATCAAGACATAGCAGGTCACCGAGCCATCAGTCAGCAGCAGGAGCAGGAGGGCCTTTAAACGTCGCAGAAATGAGGAGCACTTTGTCAGATTTAGCGAGGAAACTGAAAGGATTTTATTTTATTTTTTTGTGTGTGTGTGTGTGTGTGTGTGTGTGTGTGTGTGTGTGT